CGTTGCTACGCATGGGACGTGCGGCGCAAGCAAAGGATTGTGAGGCTACCCTCGGTGAGTTAGCGCCATGGCCTCCCCGACGACTGCACCTACACTCTGCCGTCTGGGTAGCAGCACTGACATCACTCCACAAGCGACGGCCACAAGTGTTGTGCAGGCACTACGTGAATCACTCCGTGGAGATTAGGTAGGTGTCGTGTCAGGTGTACACATGCTCGGCATCCCTGCGCGCAGCGCGGGTCAAGAAACGAGGCAGAGCAAGGGCGGACCCAAATATCGCTCTAGGTGCTACCCGATCGAAGGATAGAAAGAGGAAAGGGCTGGAGCGGCTGGTCCCTAGTCACCAATCCAACACTGATGGATTACCACGATCATAATACAGCATTCAAAGACATGGTCCGGAGCCGATACAAAGTGACTGAAAGTCTGAACGGTTGGAACGCCGAAAATCAATGAAGATCTGTGCGCGTTTCGTAAACACGCTGACGAAGTCCACAACCCCCTCAACTGTGCAGCAGCGAATGCGGAACAGTGTCATTGAGTCAGCGAAATGCGGATGCACGAGAGATCTAGTTTGCTTGGAAACCTATCCCTCAAGCACCTGACTTTTTGAGATGAGGGTCGTCGCCCTGCTGGTGGGCGGTGCGGAGTGATAATGCGTCACTGGAGTTGTTCGAACAACTGAGTCTTCCAGGATCGCCGTCCGGAGTGATCCGTAACGTATCTTCCAGCACCGGAATCTACTTGTGAAGGTCTTCAACGTCGCCCAGTCGCTTGAAGCGAGTCAATAAGGTCTATCTAAAGTTGTTCAGATACCGTGCTCTTCTAGGATGCTCACCGGGAGTGAGGCGTGCCATCTCTTCTCGCTTTCAAATCGACCTGTGGATATCCGCGATGCTTACCTGGCTGGCCGAAGCAGATCGACAACGACTCGCTGAGGTGGTTCAACCCACCCAGCTTGATAGGACTCCCAGCACGAGAATCGACCTGTGGATGTCCGCGAGATCGATAGCACATAGTCGAGATTGTCCGGCTCCAGATTCGTCAAGCGGAGGCAATGATCGAGCAATACAACCTCCTAAAAGCATCGTATGTTTTACAACGTATTGCCATCACGGTACGTACTTAACCTGTTATAAATATTCGTGACCTACTTACGCACCGGCTGCTGCTTTGAGAGCCGAGTCCACTATCTCGGTCATGGCGATGACGGCTTCCTCTTCCAATGTCCGACCCACGACTTGGAGACCAACAGGTGCATTTTGGAATGTAACAGGGTCATCTGATCATACAGCGTAACAGTCAAACACCCCGTCGCTGGATAGCGCACAGTGCACCTACAGAGATTGTAGTTGACTTCATCTGCGTCGTTCAGGAACTGGTGAGGTGGCTTCTTCGCGTCCAGCGTCGGATCCACTTTCGTGACAGGGAAAGTGCAGGCAACATAATCCAATGCGTTCAACACCTTGGTGTAGTTGGAGTTTCTATCCCAGAGACTGTCAGTTCGCCGTGGTCCGACACATGATGGGACTTACCCGTTCTTGCCGTGTGGAGGCGCAGCAAAAGGCGCCCCTGGCGAAATGATAGCATCGACAGGACGCCCGGTTCCCGTTACTTCCACTGTCTGCTCCCAGTGATCGAGGTACTCCTTGCGCAGATGCGCCCGTGCATTCTGGGCCTGCCACAGTTGATATGCGGAAACGCCGATGACATCAGGGCGCACGGAGGCATCGACGATTCCGTCGTTTGTGGGGCTCATTGACGAGATGATCGGCTCTCCAGAAGCTGCTGTAGTAGCCCTATAGTCCTCCAATGCCCCGGCCTTCCATACCGCCGACTGTGAAAGAAATTAGCAAACCCCTGATAAATCGTTCGCGGCCACTCACGATGGCGTCATTCAGCTCCAAGTGTTTGATGGGTTTCCAGTCGATCACTGCGGTACAAACTTGAGCAGACTGACGCATCGTCGTATATCGGTGAAAATGAACCTTTATGGCCGGCCGCAGTCAATGCGTCTCGTGTCATCTCCAGAGCCCTAATAACGGGAGGATGGGGAATGACAATGCGGTCATCCCACAGGATCGCAAAGCAGAGAGCCTGACCGCTGCCGTGCCCTGCAAGCGCATATGCCTCGTCGTCCCACTTCTTGCGAACCGCGAGGGGATCCCTGAGCCACGGTTCGCGGCCGATGACGGCCTGCATGAATGCCTTGATGCCGCTCAAGCTGTTCGACAAGGGTCCGAGTACGGATGGGATGGAGTCTTGCCCGTACATCGAGTTGGACGATCCTGCGTAAGGCACACGGCCGTACGAGGGCCGCAAGCCATACAGCCCGTTGAAAAGGGCAGGAATGCGAATGGATCTGATAAGACGGGGGAGGTGTGAATGTGGTATACATACAAAGAGATTTCGCTGCTTACCCTCCGATGTCAGACCCGACACCAAGTGGGCTGCCTCTGAGGTGGATCAGCGCGCCCTCACCACCGGACGATCCTCCGGGGGTCAGAAGCCGGTTTGCAGGGTTCAGAGTTCTGCCAAAGACCAGGTTGTACGTCTCCGGCCACTGAGATCCGTTTGCCGTCGATCAGCAAACTCACTTTCGTACGATAACACGACACACACCATCAGAGTTTGAGGAACATTTGTCCTCACAAATGGGACGGCACCGCATTCGTACAGGATCTCTGCGAGGACGGCGTCTTTGTCGGCGTACTTGCCAATCCAGGATGCGTAGCCTGTTGTTCGCCCATCGGTACGCAACCTATGTATGCCTGCATGCCAACTCACCCATTGTGGTCTCGAGACCCTTGAGATTGATCTGGTCTTTCAGCGACACAGGCAATCCATGTAACGGCCCAACAACGCTCCCCGTAGATTTGAGATGCTTATCAAGCTCAGCTGCACGCGCCAACGCTTTGTCGACGAATATTTCCGTCAGGCAGTTGACCTAGGTCGTTATCGCTGAGATGAGATGACTACACATGGAGGAACAGGACCATACCAGTTGTTGCGCAACAATGGCTCTTTTGTAGAATGCCGTGGTGACCTCAACGGAAGACCACTCCGCGGCGGCAAGCTTTTGCAACAGTACCCCAACATCGACGGTGTTCGTGATTTGCAGTTCTCTCTCAGAAAGCAGACCGCATTGTTCGGGAAACGCGGTGACATCAAGGACCGCGGCAGGAGGCACAGCGACCAGCCAATCTTGGGGAATAGACGCTTTCTGACGACGCTGCTTGTCCGCCACCAGTTCTTGCCAGTTGGCACCTTGCGACATGTTGGAACTCAGGACAGTGCACGACTGATGCTCTCGATGGGGAGGGTAAGACCAAGTCACTGATTCCACTCTCACACAATCCAGTTGATAAAGAATATAGAGACATCTATCTCAGATGGGTGGGACACGGACAGATAGAACATTCGAGACAGAGACGAAAATATGGGGGGTTCAAGGCACTGCAGGAACGACTTGGCTCTGGCTACGGAATACCGCAGCCCGCACGTGAGACATGCGACGGACCGGTCTGCCCTTGATAAGGAATGAGACCTACACAAACAAGATTAGCATTGCAACAAAGGCCATCGCTACATGAAGAACTGGAAGTATATGCTCAGAATGCCATTCATGTCAGTGATACGCATCGGAGCAGAGCTCGCAAAGCGCATCGAAGTCGACTAAGAGGTGCCAGTGGTGGTTGAAAGATACAACGCTCGTCATTGTAATACACAGAAAAAGGTGGTATAGATATATAACCGAGAGAAACTTACTCTTATCAGAGTCGATGTACAACAATCGCTCGGAGCGCTGCAAGAATCCGGCAGAAACTGAAAAGCAGGACGGAACTCAGACGCCTGGCTATGCTGGTAACGGCGATCTTTATTTCATTGGAAACTTTGCATGTGTTTGGTTCTGATTCAATCGAAGCCTTAGCCATCAGATAAGATCGACCGGTGGCCCTGTCCAAAGCGGAAGCTGAGAACACACATAACTTGGTAAGCGACTAAATTCAGCCTTTAACATACGCTGCCATAACAATGCGTCTCCGAGATAGTACGACGAGCGAGCTCGGCCACATCTCACATACTACAGGTCGTGGCGATCCTTTTGGAAGACTCAACTGTTCGAATAACCCCAGCGACGCATCATCACTCCACACCGCCTGCGGCCTACCGGCAGGGCGACGACTCTCACCTCAAAAGTTGGGTGCTGGAGGGTTAGGTTTCCAATCGCTCGTCCATCTGCTGCTCCATGACTCAACAGCACTATACCCATTCTCTACTGCACCAGTGAGGTCGTCGTGGGCTTCGTACAGCATGGCTACGAAACACTCAGATCTTGACTGGTGTTCTTAGAGTTATGGGCTTTCTACCTATTTAGTCTTTCTGTCATTTTATATGGGCCCCGGATCACGTCTTTAAAAGCTGTATCATGACCGACTTGATCTATGAATGTTGGGTTGGTAGCCAGTGATCAGCCGCTCCAGCCTTTCCCTCTTTCTCCTTTAATTGGGGTAGCACCTGGATTGAGATTCGGGTCCGCCCTTGCTCTGCTTTTCGTTTCTTGACCCGCGCTGCACACGGGGACACCGGGTGTGTGTATACCTGACACGATATTTATCCCCTCTCCATGAAACGATTCCTGCTGTGCCTGCACAATACTGGTGACCGTTGCGTGCGGGATGATATCAATGCTGCCACCTAGACGGAACACTGGCAGAGCGTAGGTGCAGTCGTCGGGGAGGCCATGGTGCTAACTCACCGAAGGTAGCCTCACAATCCTTTGCTTGCGCCGCACGTCCCATGCGTAGCAACG